CAGGTCCGTTCTATATAATACGAGGCCTTCCCCGCACTGAACGGTCACCTGTCCTTCTCAACAACCAGAATCTAATAATCCTAGTCGAGTAACGACTGTTTGGATCTCTTACTATTCCATCTACGACGAACAAACCTATTGGAAATAAAAGAGAAATGTCTGCTGCTCAGAGGAAAGCGCCGTCAAAGGCTGTTCAGCTCGCTATCGATGCCGGCGCACCCACTATTGACCCTAGCACTGTGCGTCTTTCTTTCTTACCACCACCATCTGCACATTCGAGGGTCAGGAATACGAATAGTTGCGAGACGTGACGGACATCTCTCCAGAGACGGTGACGGAGAGTGTGATTGCCATCAACTCGCAATGCAAGAATGAGTGAGTATTATTCTGGTCTTGCTTGAAAGGGTGTGGACGACTGACGGGGCTGTAGAAGGCAGAAATTCCTGATAAACAACCTAGTGCGGCACTTGCACGACTGTACGTCCCCTCCTCATTTTCTTTGCCGCACGCTGACTATTATGCAGACGCTCGCGAGACCAAGTAAGCTCTCCCGTCTGCAATCATACGCAGCACCTGACCATTCTGCTCACGAAGCCTCACAACCGAGGAATGGATGTACGTCCCTCCCTCCCAAACGCATGCTGGCCTCCACCTAACAACATTCATAAATAGGACAGCGATCCAGTTCCTGACTGCGACGGGGCAGAAGTGGTCTTCCATGTGAGCCCCCTTCTTCCGCGGCGTTCTATCAGGCGCTCCTCCCCGCGGGGAGGGATCAACGTACACCCGTACTGACTTGCACCAGTCGACATGAGTTCATCCTCCTCAGTGACGTACTGGGTGTCTCGGCGCTTCAGAACACGGTGCTAGGTCCCTTGTTCACCGAGGACGCGAATGACTTGTATCCCACTGCTGCCGGCTCCGCACTCGGTCCTGACCCCGTATAGTCGATCAGCAAGGCCCTATGGCCTCCGAAGGCAAAGGTGACCCGCTGCTCGTTACCCTCCGTGTGCTGGACACGCAAGGTCGTCCCGTACCTGGCGCGCGGGTGGAGATGTGGGAGACGGATGCAGAGGGGTTCTACGATACGCAGTATGAGGGGCGAACGGGGCCGGACTGCCGTGGGAGGCTGAAGACGCAAGAAGATGGCGTGTGCGAGTTCTGGGCCGTCGTCCCCGTTGCGTATCCTATTCCGAGCGATGTGCGTACCCCCTTGCTTCGAAGGAAAAGTGGATTGCTGACAGAGTTGCTGTTGCAGGGCCCGGTTGGAAGCCTCCTTCGCAGCTTGCACACATCATGGCCATCTACACCGCCTATGTTCCTGCCTGCCGGAGACGACCCCATTGTAGGACTGCGGCCGGGCATACCTTGCAATGCAGAACTGTTCCAAACCCGAGCGAGACTGAACCGGACTGCGACCATCCCTAATCGGGACATGTCCCGAGGTCATAAAAACGAGGTATGAAATGCGGTGACTACTGGATGGCTCACCTTACCACTCCAGCACCGACCTCCCAGGATAATCTGAAACGCCGCTTCTAGACCGGCCTATAATAGATTAACTGAAGTATGTGGAGCATGGCGACGTTTGTCATGGCATGGGCGACAAGCACAGCTATCCGTCTATGGGTATGTGCCAGCGGACGGATAAATCTATTCCTGGGGTGGGCTGTTGCCATGTCAACTCGGGGTCATGGGAACCGATCGCGTGTGAGGGGAGAGTCGTCTGATCTAGCTATATCCTGCGCTCAATTGAAAGTGGACTGCATTTTTCATCATGTCCTACTGAAACATGATTCATGGCATGGCCGATGCATGTCTATGCTAAATGCAACACAGGTATTTACAGACAATAGAAAAACCCTTTCAGGCCAGTGGTCATCGCCTCAGCATTCCTCTTTACTTAAATATGCTCAAGAGCTGGAGCCAGAATGACCATACCGCCGACTCGCGCGCTGGTCGCCGTTCTTCACTCTTTCGTGAACTACACCCTCACACTATTCTACAACATGCAAAGTATGTCGTTTTGTTGTGGACATGACTGGTTTTGCTGACATGACGTTACAGTATGGAAATTACTGCTGGCAGTCTTTTCCATTGTTCCTATCGCTGGCGCACTTCCCCTCGACCGCCGCCCCCGCACTGTCATGGTCGAGCACGCATCCAGTACTAATGTGGAAACAGACTTAAATACCGGC